ATGTTTGGTTGAAACAGTAATCAAATTTTTCAGCTGATGCAACCACGAAAACATGCCATACAATCTCCTCATCTCTCAATCTTCCAAATTTGGCTCAACAATGCCTGTGTAATGTGAATGGCACGACAAGACTCATCGTAGGTATGTTGGATGGATGTGGAAACATTTAAACACACACGTAAAAAGAAGAACCGCATTGGCATGAAACATTTAAAAATCAAGTGATTTTAGGCCATACTAGGGCAAAGTGCAATCATGTCAGATTTGATCACTTTTCTAAAATTGTTTCATGTAAATCAGCTGTGAATGTGAATATTTTAATCGCATAAATTGGGCATAGCTAATTGATTGTAATGACGATGATGCAGATAGAAAATGAAAGAGGTCAAGGGTTTGCTCCTATCGTGCGCCTCGTGTGAGTAGATTAGGCAACCGCACCGACTAAGTCTGGTGAACCGATTGGTAGGACGAAGTTAAGTGCCACAGAGGAGACTCCTCGATGGTAATATCGATGCTTTCCCAAATAGGTGGGGGTTTATGCTTTCTCCACTAACTTATTGCAAAATTCACTAATTTGAGTGGTTACTTGCTTCAATTAAATTCATTTAGAGTAGATGAGCACAGCACAACTCGTGAAACAAATCCTCCAAGTGTTTTTAAACTGTCAACTATTACAGACTTCTCCTCTTATGTTAGTCCACAAAACGCCAAACGGTGCACGCCCTACTCACTGACAAATCTGGAAATACACTGCGAAGGCTGGATCCACTCAATTATTCCTACTATCTTTCTTGCCTAGAAAATGGTAAGCTACATGCCAGCATTCTATTAAGTCAACAATCGGTCCACCTCATCATTGACAATCACTCACAAACAGCTTTATTACTGATTACTGATAAGTAGAAACGTGTGATAATGGAGTTGGTAAGCAGATATCAATGAGCTCACAAACTTAAAATTAAGTATAAATTGAGCATATTCTTTCCATTTTATTTATAAAACAGGCATTACAAGTGAATGAGTGCATGTTAGTGCAGAGAATATACAAAGCGTTGAATGTGTGACAACATTTAGAAGACACCAACTAATGATCGACGCCATTTCGCACTAACATCAGTGGACGCATTCGAAACCGGTTTTTAGCGGATTAACAGGTTTCGTCGAAGATGAATAAATCCCAACTTCAGGAAGATGAGATCTTTGAGATGTTGAAGGTGATCGATTCCCACGTGGTGTTGGTAGTCGAGGATGACGCCTGCTGCGATGAATGCTTCGATGGGACTTCTTTCCTCCACCATCACCTCCTCCTCCTCCTCCTCCTCCACCTCCACGTCGTCTGTCTTCCTAGTTGCTGCCTTCCGTCTCGAACGTGATGAGGATTCTGGGGCATTCAAAGTCTGCCTGGGAGAAATTTCTGAGATTGGACTTCGAACACGAGAACACTCGTGATGACTTTCTCTTGATCCATGTCGTCGAGAGCAACGACCACTGCGACCACCGTATTCTCGACCAGAATCTACTTCATATCTGTTTAAAAATAAAAAAAATAAGTTTTAAACTCGAAACCAATGAACATAAAAACCAATTTCGCTAGAGATGAAAATTACAAATAAATCTTACTACTAAGTACAATCAAAGGTAGATTTTGGCGAGACTAATCTAGAAGTCCAACAAGGCCATTTCCACCATCAACAGGCCCGTAGAAGAAGAAGATGAAGCCCCTACTAGAGTTCATCTCGGTGGAGTGGAGGATCTTAACAACCTCTTCTACCTAGACTTACTCCAACCATTATTCAGAAAATGTCGCTCACTCAGTGCTACGAGAAATCACCGCCTCTTTCAGGCATTTTGAAGACATTTATACTTCAATAGAATACGACTTGACCATAATCCTACACAGTATGGCCAACCTTTACCCCATTAAGTTCCAGCATAATCGACAAATGATTTTAATTTCAAGGTTAGTAGCAAAAATCAACTTATTCTAAACTAAATTCTAAATGACATGCTATCTAATCTAACAAATTGTTGTTCCAAATGTTTAGATGGTACTTTGAAAGAGCGTACCACATGAGGATTTTTCCAGTAGAACGCGAATGGTAAATCCGTTTTACCTCGACAGAAAATATCCCAAAATCATTCCTTATTTTCAAATTAGACATGAGAGAAAGACCTTCGAGTAAACCGAAAGAGGGATAACAAATACATGTTACCCCGTTGTAGGTTTCAGATATTAACCCCAACTAGTACAGACTTCAAAATCGGGCCAATTATTTCCAGCCTACTTGATACAGTCTCTTGCCAACATCAACTTCAATAGTTAAATAGGTAACTAGATTAGAGAAAAGACACAATTGCAATGAAAAACTCACCGTCTCCTCTGACAGCCACGATGATAATCCCTGCTGTGAGAGCGAATTCGGCGACTCGATCGACGGTCACTACAAATTTCCAGAACCATGTCAACAGATACAACTCCTCTTGTTGCTTGTTCTGATGACGGTTGCAATTGACTAACTTCTGTACTACCACAACCAAAATGATACTAGTATTTCATGAAACAACGCTTCCAAGTGGTAGTATTCACAAGAAATGTCGTTTATTGAGAATTTTTAGTATTTTTATACAGACCAGGTAGCGCTAATGGAAACCTATTTCTAGAAGTAACCGCGTAACCTCTTAATCCATAAGTTGGAAGTCTTCCAAGAAGCAGAGCTGGAATAGGCATTGATGTTGTTTTACTCCCTGAACCTCCAATGAAGTGACACTCTGATATCAAATTGCAGATGAATGTGTTGATACTATAAATGGAGGTGTCTTTTAGATGATACCAATAGGTGTTCAGACTGACAAGCACAATTTGTCACGAAACGCATCGAGTGAAGTTAAAATGGCAATGGCGAAGTGGCTATAAATGGCATTATCGTGAGAATGGTTGAGAGTAAGACTGGAGGGCTATCACTGAGAACTTGAGAGATCTTTGATAAATCGAGCAGAGTCATGTTTAACTATTCTTTTTCCAGTTAAGGCAACTGACTGTCTGGTTGAGGCTGCAGCTGTAACTAGAAGCAAAAAGGTTTCAAAAGGATTTTAAATTTGAAATTTGCTTCCATTCGAAACGCAACATTACCTGTGTTTGCGCATTGCGAGTAATTTTTGGTCTAGGCATAGGAAATGGTGTGTTTATGGATGCCTGAAAATGTGCTGGATGCTAGGAAGGCCTTCAGTGGATACCTTCGCATTCACTAGTATGTAAGGACGAGAAGGAGAAGGAGAAGGACGAGGAGGAGGAGGATGAGAAGGAGGACGAAGAGGTACCTCTGGAGTGTTNAAGATTGTTGAAAGTTTTCTGTCGAACAAGTGCATTGAGCTCCTTGGAAATATTGGTTGAATATGCAAGGGCTTTGCAAACGTTTGTCTTGTGGCATAGATGACAGTGGAGTTGTCACCTGTGACAATTTCAGTGCAAGGGCCTCACTGGTGGAAAATTTCGTCACCCATTGCGTCACTGGTTCCTTTGTCTTTGCATTGCCACGATTTCTCACTTTCAGCTCTTCCAATTGGATTTTTAAGTAAGTTGGATCAGTTAATGCTCTGCCTAAAATGTCGAATTCACAGTCACTTAAACAGTTTTATGAGAGTTGAAATAAATTGTGAGGCACATACGTAATATGCTTTGTAAGGGGCCTATAGGAGTGTAGGTAAAGAGTGTAGCCTAAAGTGAATAATCATTACCACGCAATTAGAAGGAAACTTACAGTTATCTAACTGCATATATCAGGAGTGTTTTGAGATGCTCGTGCAGGAATCTCCAACTCTTCATCCAGCAGTGATTCCAAAATTGGAAATGATTGCGAGGAATTAGTATTAGAGTTGTAGGGAGAGGAGTAATTAGTGCACACCTCTCGAAGATATTCAGATTTGACAAAACTGAAGATGGGATGAGCATAGGCCAAATGTGATCAATAAAGAACTGGTCAATGTGCCGATCCATTACACTTTCTTCAACGTAGAGACCTCTTCTCTGAACCTTCATCTTATATACTATTTACAGCAGCCAATCAGCGATCGGCTTTCTCCTCCAGTTGGGGCCTANCATATATCAGGAGTGTTTTGAGATGCTCGTGCAGGAATCTCCAACTCTTCATCCAGCAGTGATTCCAAAATTGGAAATGATTGCGAGGAATTAGTATTAGAGTTGTAGGGAGAGGAATAACTGAAGATGGGAAGAACATAGGCCAAATGTGATCAATAAAGAACTGGTCAATGTACCGATCCATTACACTTTCTTCAACGTAGAGACCTCTTCTCTGAACCTTCATCTTATATACTATTTACAGCAGCCAATCAGCGATCGGCTTTCTCCTCCAGTTGGGGCCTATTTGTCTTTTGATGTATGTGTTCAGTTGAAAAAATGTGTGCACTTGATCTAGTTCCACACGTATAAGCTTGAGGCTAATCTTTACATATCATCACTAATAGATAATTTGGATAGATCCTTTCCTCAGTGGTCAAATTCATCAAGTCATTGTTTGTTGTTGTTGTTGTAGAGTTATAACTGCTACTTCAGAAATGAGATAACCTCGAAAGTACGAAGTTATAGGCATTTTGCAATGAGGAAGAGGGGAGTTAATGGTGACATTTCATAAAATTTTCATTCGAATTCTTGGGCCAATTCTTCCTGCCCTCACACCCAACGATTTTCCTACACCCTTCCCATCAAACTCCATCAATGCCACATCCGTCTTCTGGATTATAGGCAGACGCCAAAGGATATTCCTGCTGGTTGAATTGAGATTTTTGGCAAATGAATGAACAAGAATGAGAGAGGTCAAGAGTCTCAGTTAGCATCCTCTCTTCAAAGAAATAAAGCTTTTTACTCTATTGTGATCAATGGGGATTTTTGTTTGGACAATACGGAGCGATTTATTGTTAATCGATTTGGCTAATCGAGTTTGATCAAGTTGGTCAGAATCGGATTTGAAACTGAGGTATGGAAATGGAAATATGTTTTCAATATACAATGTACTAGATTAGTGAAAGAAATTTTTTTTCAAGTCGTCAAATTGATCTCATTAATGTTCACAACAGAGCAGCAGAACTAGTCCCACGTATCTAGGCATTACTGCCAAGAACACCCAGATACACCACGAACTAATGCTAACATTCTACTTGCCACATCTCTCTCAGAAGAAGAGAACTGCAGATTAGACCAATCTGTTTGGAGTAAGATTTTTTAATCTTTCTTCGAGCATTATTGATCTGAACCCAATTGTTAATCTTAACGACGTTAACCGATTAAACTAGTACTTTCAACTAGAATAATAGTCTAAATTTCTTCTTTTGTTCTCTACTTAAAGTGCCTCTGTCTTGTCTCTAGTTGTGCACTCTCTTTTTATACTATTAGCCACAAAATATACTTTGTCAGTGGAAATATTAGTGA